GGGTCACTCCAAGCTGCCTCTAGATAAGGATTCAGGGCCACCAAGGATGTGCAATGCTAGTAGGTTATCTCAGTGTGCACACACAAACTTGCACGTACACTACTAATGCAGAAGTGGCAAGCCTTTTATCATCACGCTGTTTCCCAGCACCACAGGCATAAACAGCTTGGTTGTGTGGGCTGGGGTGTAGATACAGGGGTAGCGAAGGGCAACTGACCCAAGTTGCCATTTGTTCAATGGACACTATACCCAAGGCATGTCTCCTTACAGTAAGGCACCCCTCCATAAACAGTGAATGACCCCCAGGATAGGGGAGTGCCTGTTTTCCATGATAACATGCCCCATATCTGGGGGGGTTGCACCAAGATTTTGTCCCACCCCTGTATAAGACACATACACCAGGGGGTGGGAGGAGGGGGATACGGCATCATCCCTTCAGAGCTGGGAGCCTCTTTTTTCCACCTGTCATTCCTGGCCCGAAGCAGCTGGAGAGCTACCAGGAGGTCCCCATATGGGTCAGCATCAGCACAAGAGGATGAAAAAAAGAGGCAAGCAACTGAAATATCAGGGGGTGGGGGACAGATTATGGAGTAAGAAGTCAGGGGAGAGGTGGGGAGGTTGAACCATGGAGATAGAGTGGCATGCAGAGAGGACGTGCAGTAAAGGCACAATGCCTGTCCTCTTCCTCTGCACTAACCTCCCACCTTATGGACAGGCAGCTATCCAGGGGTGATACTGATCTAAGGAAGAGAAGGGAAGGGAGGATATGGTTCCTCAAGCACTAGAGTCATAATTAATGGACTATGGACCACAACAAGCATTTTACCTATATATAGGTATTATATTAAATACTAATATTATATTATATTACATATTATATTAAATCCTGCTCTGTACACCAGTCCATGAAGTAATTGCCTAGCACCCTCAAAGCTACTGCTGGTTTGCACTGTGAACTTGGGGCCAGGTCCTAGGTTGTTTCTTCTATGCAGCACCAAACACATTCAATCACTGCTCAATTAGAAGGCAGGGCTAGGTGGCCCCTTAAAGACTCACTTGTTCTGTTACAGCTTAACTCTGAATGAGGGAGTTTTTAAAGTGCCACCCTCCCCTGCCTTCTGCATAACTTCCAACTAACACAGCTCTACAAGTAATGTTTATGTTCTGCCTCCTCCAGGAGTCCCACTCTTTGCAGAGCTGGAGCTGCAAGATCTCCAAGATTCCTCCACCCCCAACATACTCCACCTCAACAAGCCTCCTCCTCACCTGCTGCCCAGCTGTGAGCCTCATTGTACAGGGTAGAATGAGTAGGCACTGCCATCACTCCCCCTGTGGCATCTGCAGAACTAAGAGGAACCCTTGAGGTTGCAGCCTACCTTCTGCTCCAGTCTTAGAGACCCATAGCCAAGAGGGTCCCCCTTTCAGTTTTCTCTCTTACAGCCTTGCTCATTTTTCTTGCTTTCAGTTCGGCTTCAGCATCTTTAAAGCCAAACCAAGGCATCCTCAGATTCCCAGAAGTTTAGAGCTGGAAGGGACCTTTTGAGATCATTGGGTCCAGCCCCCCTGCTCTGGGAAGAAAAAGACTCCTCAAGTCAGCATACCAAATATCTGTGTTTAGATCATAAGTTTCACAGTAGTAAGAGGTTTTATGCACTGTGCCTAATTTGCATTATTCTCTCAGCCCATCTCCAACTGTCTTGCTGCAGCTTACAAAATTACTACCAGGAAAATAAGAAAAACCCCCAAGATGATACCACAGCCTGAAATACATTAAGGGTTCTGAGTCTACCCCCACAAGCTGTAGCTGAGCCCATCAGAAGTCTGACAAAAAGAACACAGCTGGGGAAGTAAAGATGACAGAACAGACCTGAAGCAAGGTGGGAAAAAGAGCCATCAGTTTGGCAATGAGGAAGAAGTTACTGGAAAACAGCTCAAATTTGATACAGCAACACCCACCCTGTCTTCCTACTCCTGCCAGTGAAGAGGAAGCTCCTGAATTTCTCCTCACTCTGTTTATGCCCCATGCATCTCCAGCCATTTATCTGTGCCTCAATTTCCCTCTCACTGTAAAAAGAAAAGGAGTAAGCTATTTCTTTTTTGTACAAATCCCCACCCACCCCATCTCCACCCAAATCCTGATTCCTGCAATATAAGCCCCAGGTCTGCTAGGCTGGGGGCGGGGGGTGTGTGGAAAGAAGCATGCTGCTGATATACCACACATAGTGATGGAGGCTATAAAAGAGCCTAGATAAATGGGGATCTCCTTAGCTCTTGCTAACTGAGCACTCAGGGGTGGGCCCTCACAGACAGAGTCTAAGCCCCCCACCCCCAGCTGCTGCCGTCCAGGGTGGGAATGACTCTCCCACCACAAGAGCCCAGTTCTGCTCACAATCATTTCCTTAGCCTGCCCCAAGTTATGCTTCTCAGTGGGGAGAGGTCAGAGGGAGAGCCACAACCAGGCATCCCTCTACACAACTGAGCAAATGCCTGTGCAAAACTACTTTTGCTTTGCTTCAGGCTTCCAGGGCTTTGCAACCAAGCAAGCACTTGTCAGGCTAAGGGAAGGCTTGAAGGAGAAAAGACGGTTAGCACTGCAAAATGGAACCAGGGTGAGAGAGAAAGTCAAAAATATCAGGTTCCCTCTTTCCCAAGAGCTGAATTCAGAGCTCATTTCAAAGGGACACAGAAATCCAGTTCTCCCTGTTCACAGACCATGTCCTTACATGAGGATTCGAACCCACTGCATCTCATCTCTGACCTAAGTCCACCCTGCCAACCCACTTCAGACCTGGCCAGCAGCAACCCACTGTCTTGGGGTTCTGCAAAACTACCAATGTATTCCAGTCCTGGCCTCTGCAAGCTACAGTCCTGGCCTGAAGCACACCCCCACAGCCCTAGATATACTCTCAGACAGAGCCATCAACATAGCATGACCACAACCTGGAGCTGCTATTCTCATCTAGCTCTTCAACACAGTTCTGAAAGTAGTCCTCTGATCTGAGCTGCAGCCCTAACCTGGTTCAGCACAGAGGGAGAACTCCTTCCCCACCCCTCCTCATACAGTTCTTTCGTATCACCTCCTCCAAAGAGAATGCACAATGGAACATATTTGGCATGCACAACACACACCTGCATGGCTAGCTGTATTGCCCAATCCCCACTCCCCTGCAGATCTGAATTAACCTTCCAGGTACTAGATGCAAACCTTGCACTGTGGAGCCCAAACCATCCACACATGCCCCCTAATCACTAGTATGAAAAGCAGCAGGGATGAAGAAAATGGGCCTCGGGGCCAGCCAGTCACCCTCTCCTATCTCCTCTGTGGGTTTGAAATGTAGACCTGCCATTTGAGGCACCTAAACTGATCCAGAGGGGGAAAAAAAAAACAGACTTCTAAGCCAATCAGCACCCCCCTGCTTCCCCCCC